CATGAACATTATTAATAAGAATATTCGAAATTTCTGAGGGGTTAAAAACAATAGGGTACACAGTCCGAAGAATCAATGTTACTACAAAAGTAAAGAAGCAGCCTCGATATAAGAAATATCGGGAAGGCTATACAAAAATGGATTATTTTGACGAACCACCTGAACATCTGAACCATCCCAGCCCTCAATTAAATTACTTCAAGAGACAGAGGAGTAGAAAATAGAGGAACTTATTATGACATAAACAACAAATGTAACTTAACAAAAGTTAAATCACCCCAAAAGCAAGCGAAGGAAAAAATGTGATGGCAAGTTTGTTAAATGGTTGAGCACACGATAAGGCGTATACAGAATCAAGAAAAATTATCAGGTGATAAAGTATCTGTTAAATTCGCAGATCCGCATACGGAAAGAAAAAATGTATCGCTGTAGCCGTTCATAGAAACAGTGGGTACTTAACGGTAAAGCAAGCAAAGCATATAGCTTATATATAGCTTATATATTTCGGCAAGGAAAAGGGTTATTAAATGGCTATTAATACCTGACCCATCTTGACCAAGAAAAACCGAGATATCGGCCAAAAAGCGAACCGCAAGAAATTGATACAGGTAAGTAAAATATTATTTATTTACTTAATTTGTTGGGCAATTACTTTTATTCAAAATAAGTACACACATGCGTTTTTCATTGCTATAGCCAATAGCTCTGAGCCTTTTATTAATTCACCATCTTCCGAGAAACAATGGGTGTTGTAGCTTTTGTATGAAGCTACAATAATTTTTGTATTTTGGAAAAGGCTGAAGCAAAAAAACATTGGCGTTGGATAGCATCAATTAATTAAATAAAAACCATGTCTGAACTGGTCTTAATTACTAGGTAAATACATTATTTTTCGTAAAAAGTATAGAATTGATCTTAAGTAGCTAATAACCAGTAGCGGCTCAACGTCGGCAGAGATAAAACGTATTTACAGTGATTGAGTTTGTATGCAGTTATACCTAGTATTACCTATAGTTTATATGTATAAATATATGTTACCACTTAGATAATAACTAACATGTAGTAAAAACTAGACTATAGTACATTTCACGCTTTTTTAAAAGCCTGTAACCCTTTTCGTTGCCGAGATATAGATATGGCTATGCTAGATTTAACGTAAAGTTAGCATATCAATTGTCTCTCGGAAACGGTTACAGCAATATATCGTTTCTTTACGTAAAACTTCAACAATAAATTAGCAATTAATTCCTTGCGGTTCACTTTTCTAGTTTCGTCATTTTTGGCCGATATCTCGATTTTTCCAGGGATGAGTTTTGCGCTAGGGGGATGATGGGGTAGTAATTGAGGATTGGTCAATGTACCAATAACAGTAATTAATTAGCAATAAAATATGCCACCAAAATAAGTCCTGTAACCCTTTTCATTACCGAGATATAGCTATGGCTATGTTAGATTTACCGTAAAGTTAGCATAGCCATTGTTTCTGGAAAACGGTTGCAGCTATAAATTGTTTCTTGGCGTAAAACTTCGGCAATAATTTAGCAATCAATTAGGTATTTGCGGTTCACTTTTTGGACGATATCTCGGTTTTCCGGTAGGCATTCCAATGCTTTGTGCCCTCCAATTAAAGAATTGTCAGGACCCTGGTCTTCCTGGCCTTACGGCATACGACCCCCAGCGCATACCACTTGCCCCTACGAGTCCGACACCAATTGAAGGTGGCACGATGCCGAGACATCATGGAGCTCCACCTCCCCATAATACCTGTGTTGCAGGTCACGCCACCCTTCCGTGAGTCCCCCCCCCCCCCGAGGACGGAAAGGCACGCAGGTGCTGGAATACCCCCTCGCACGAAGACAGGTCGCCGTTAAGGAATCACTCCTCTACCACTCGTAAATCATTCCAAGCTGGGTACGTGCCGAGTCAAACCACACCACCCTCCGCGGTGTCGGCTTTGGGAGGTATTTACGTACCCGGCTCGTTCAACCTCACCTGGCTCTTGTGGAAAATGAGAGTAGAGTGGTCCCACAAGAAGCTCGTCTCGGATACTAGGAATGTAGACCGGTGCCTGAGATGACTAAGCATCTCTGTGCGTTTCTACCAATCCGACACCTCAAACGACGGCTCTCCACCTGTCATATCCGCCCATTAGTCGCCTCTTACGACAGACAGGGTATTCTTATCTCCGCGAGCCGGACGGAGAGGGAGTCACCCAATCATTCCGTATAAGTATTTAGCCCCAGGAGAGGCCCAGGCCGACGAAGAACATCCTGTCTACGAAATCTCCGAGAATAGTATCAAGAAACCACCGCTAATTTATTTAGAGCCGCCGTGAATAAGGTTATTATTGCCAACATGATCGCCAACGTTCGATAATCGGACAGGGCACTGACAGAAGAAGAAGAAAATTTAGCACCAAGGAATTATCTATTGGTCCTTTACGGCATGCGGCAATATTTCATCCAATAGGCGGCGAGATACCAAACACGTATAAGGAATGTTACTTTGGTGTAAAATTCATATACAGAATGTTAAATATTCGTAGACCAAAAAAAGACGAGGAAAGATTTTTATTAAAATCAGTTAAAAGGAGACTTATTTTAAAATATTTTTAAACTATGAATAAAGAAAACTAAAACAATGCAATAGGAAATTGTTTCTCGAAAACAGCTACAGCAATAAATTGTTTTCCGCAGTACATTTGCAATAAATTGGCATTAATTTATAGATATTGTTGGTTAAGAATAATGATTCAACCCAGTAACGAGAGGAGAACATGTAAACGAGAAGTGGCCAAAAATACAATGTAATATGATAAACGCTGGAAAAGCACGGAAACAGAACGGAGAAAAATTAACCTTAACACAAGATGTGGCATACGAAAAGAGAAAAGGTAACCTACGATGTAACAGTAAAACAAACGGCACCTATCTGCAATACAAATATACAAGAAGTATAAAAAGAGACTATTTGACACGATTCAACAAAGAATGGAATACGTTTCTTTCTGGAGAGCAAAGAAACGTTTGGAAAATCCTTAAAGGTAGAAAAATAACCATTAAGTATTGAATATAAAAATCTAAAAAAGAAAGTAGTAAAATTCCTACAAATGATCGTACAATCACCATGCAGATTGTAGAACTTTTAAACTTCTAACAAGGATATTTGCCAATAAGATTAAGGAAAAATACATATTCATAATCAACTGTAGATGCTTAATATGCTGACCGCAAATTAGTGAAAACGCATTTAAATATAATAAAACTGCATATATGTACATTTTAGATCTGATCAAAGCCTTGGGATGCGTCAGATTAGTAGATGTATTACAATTACTAAGAGAATAAACTCCAGCAGAATGGTAAAGTTCATTAAAGGTAAGGTAATAAGACAGTAACAACAAAACAACAATTAAAGTCGAGAGTGAACTAGAATCGAAAGTAGAGATCAACTCGGATGTCCGACAGGGAGATAAAGTCCACTACTCTTCAACTTATTAATAGACAAAATCATAAAAGAATTTTAAAAAGCAGGACAAGGATACAAGCTCGACAGAAAACAAATGAAAATCCTTTGTTATGATGCAATATTGATCTTCGATAATGAATATAACCTACAGCGAATGGTATAAACATTTAAGGCACTGGCTGACATACAATATGAAAATATTTACATCTAAAGACGAAAATTTTAGTGGTGGTAATAAAATCTAAACGATGCAAAATTGTAATTAGCTATAACATAATCATAGAAGTCTCGGAATTCGAGTATCTGAAAGTATACATATTCGAGCAAAGAAAGCCTTAGTTGTAAGAAAACAAGCAAATAAAACCGCTTATATATCAGAATGTCGAGAAAGACCCAGAAGGAAAAGGATAGATAAGATCGAAGAAATAGGAAGGAATAAAAAAAACTATTGATGAATTAAAGACGATTTCCAAAAATAGAAATGCATGGAAAACGTGGGTACCTAAAGAAAAACCCGAATCCCAATCCGACGCGACATGGATACGAGAAGAACAAGAGAAGGTCAGAATGTCTAAGGGACGTCACCTGGAAGAATGGGAATATGAGCAGAAAAGGAATATTTTAGAGTTAGAAATGAGAGCCTTGTGATCAATTCCTAAGACACCATCAAGACACATAATACCAAGTAACCAATTACGATATCTCAAAAGAAACAGGATATTGCACGATGAAGAAAACTGGAATGAAATTAGCAATTGACATGAGTAGATAGTGTATGACTAGCTCAAGTAGCAAGATATTTGAGATCAAAAAGGCAACAGACTACCTGGAAGATCCTTTAAAAGATGGATGGATAGCTGACAATCAACGTTCAAATACGACTACAGGCTTAACAACGGATAAGGACATGCCTAAGATCTAATATAAGAATAAGCAGAAAATTATATGTAAGTACTAATATGGTACTATGGAAGACACTTGATGTTTAGACCTAATACAGAAAATATATCAAAATCGTTTGCCAAAACAAGATATTCATTGAAGACCACAAAGTATAAAAAATAGAACTAGTACTAGAACTGGATTGTGAAAAAGATTTCGGGAAGGACAAACATAGACGACAACTTCACATCGAAAGATTTATAATACATCAAATAATTTAACTAAATAGCAAATAATTGTATGTAAACATTCCAATATCAATTATTGATTTAATTGGAGAATATTAAAACTGTAGGAAATACAGGTGATTCTTTATTTGCATAAATCAACTAAACAACTTACTGTTCTATAAACTTTTGACATTAAGTAATAGGTATAAACCTCAAAATAATTTTTAAAAATTAAAACTTGTTTCTAGTTATGTTTTTTGCTTGGAGTCGATTAATTTACATATAAAAATGTTAAAATATCATGATTCTCTTCATAATATATTGACAAGGTGAATTATTGTATCTATAGAAATAGAAACACATAACAAGTTTTATATCAAAATAAAATATCTTCCTTGTTGTTATTTAGTAGGTACTTACCTTTTGAATTTTGCAAATAACAGTAGCAGGTTGTACATCGTGTGATATGTGACGAGTGTCCAGTAAACAAATAGCACAAACACATATCTTACAAATCGAACAAAACATGTTGAGAGTCTCTTCAACATGTTCAGGGCAATTTCCTGTTTTGCCTTTTGTGGAGCTATTTAAACCTCTCTTGGGGTCAGATAAGACGTGTTTAGCTAGAGGACCTCTTAGAGGATGGCAGGATTCGCGGCATGAAGTGCAGTATCTTACTTCGCACTGTTCGCACATTACAGTGGCATCGTTGGCCGGTTCTTTTTCGCACATCTGACATTTTAAGGACAAATTCTTAATTTCACTGTATTTCTCGACGATGTTTTGCATGATTCTGTATTTAGGAAGATTGTGAACCCCATTTTCGTCAAAGTAAACTAGTTTATGGCACACGGGGCAAGCAACACTCAGGGTACTCGCTACAGACAAATTATTTTCAATATAACTGTTAGGCCTAGAGGCACAAATAACCCCACTGTCAGTTTCGCTCAGTATTGACAACTTGTCACTTTCTTGATAGTCTCCTGAACTTCCCGATGTTACACTTTCCGCATTTTCTGGCACAGAGTTTAAGGTCGAAATTGTGTTATGTGTGTTAGCCGGCTGCTGAAGATGGATAGCACAAAGTAAACATAAAGAATGATGACACGGAAGAAGGACGGGATTGCTGAAAAATTGTTTACAAGCGGGGCAACATAGTTCTTCATCCATCGTAAGTTTGGCCTTTACACACTAAACACCACGCACCAACTACCGACTACACGCTACAACCCTACTACAACTTACAACTGTGCCAGGCATTGGCTCTTGAGCTTTGAAAGTCGCGAGTCGCGAGATCGAGACTTGAATGCTTTGCGTTGTTGTCAACTTTACAACAAAGAAATCCAGAATTTGATAACAGTATTTTTGTATTTATATTTTTATTTTCACAATTTATACTATATTTATACCTAGAAATCGTTCATGAACTATTATTTTAGAATTAATTATTATAATATTTATTAGCTACTTATTTTAGTAGAGTCAGAATAAAAAATTAATAACATTCCAGTTAGAGAAATTGCTTGAATAATACATAGTAAAATCTTTTGGATGAGGTTAAACTACAACCGAAAAAAGGTTGATTAGTGTATGTACAAATAATATTTCGATAGAAGATTTTGGTACCAAATTATAAGGCACTAACTAGATATTAACAATAAATCACAAAATTTTGGCCATTTAAATCATAGATAAATGTAATATAATTGATTTAAATATTGTCAAATATCAGAAACAATAATATGACAAAACGCAACACATAATACACATTTTTTCACAGAAAAATGTATTATATTTTAGCAAAATTTTGGAATACGTTTAAGTCGTAGAATAATTTTAACAGTTGTTTTCGATACATATTTGAGTCCTCTACAAATAGTTTCCCATGACTTTTGGTGTAAAATAATTTGGGAAGCAGGAATTCAACAATTTAGAATTTCCCATTGAGTTTCCTATGGCCCGTTTGACGATTCACCACCCTGTATATATATATATATATATATATATATATATATATATATATATAAATTATAATAATAAATATATCATCTACTATTAGGTATGAACATAATCGTTAGTGTCTCTAATATTAAACTTCTTCTTCTCCTTCCTTCTTGTTTGTATAGGCTTTAAATGTTTCTTTTTCAATATTAGCCTCCTAAATTGTTTAAATTGTCGCACCATCTTTTTCTTGGTCTGCCAATACTTTTTCATCCGTTTGGTGACTTATCTCATGCTATTCGTACTATCCTATCCTCTGCCATTCATCTAATGTGTTCGTTCAACTCCTGTCTCCGTTTTTTCACCCATCCATTTATGTCTTCTATATTGCATATGTTTTGGCTTCTCTCCCTATCCAACAGACTTTTCCCTGATATTCGTCGGAGTATTTTCATCTCTGTTATTCTTGTAGTTGTCTCGTTTTAGATGTATCAGGTCTTGTCTTCACTGTGTCTGTTAATATAAGTCTAATTGCTGCTTTATAGATTCTTGTTTTTGTGTCTTGTTTTAGGTGTTTGTTCTTCCAGATTTTGTCATTAAGAGATCTCGCCGCTTTACTTGCTTTTAAGTTGTGTTGTCGTACTTCTTTTTCAACATATCCGTTACTAGTTATATTTATTCTATTTTTGAGTGAATTTGTGGCTATTTCTACTACCTGAAAACTGATTTCTATTTCGTCTTAATTCAGGTACGTTATTGTTTTACTCAGTAAAACGCTGGTTTAAATCAAATAAAAGTATATTTGGAACAAATAAATAACAAAATAAAGTTATATTCAAACCAATAAAAATAAACTGCCAATCCTGCTGCTGTGATATGGACGCATTGCTCAGTGACCCACTGTTTATCATCTGTGAAAATAAAATACAATTAATGTCATCAAATTGTAACGGCAGTTCATTATCATCAGTTGGCGCTACAGCCCTTCGTGTCCCCTGGCCTGCTTCAAAACACTCTTCCATCCTTCCTTGTCGAATGTCTATCTTCTCCATATCCCCTTACTTCAATCTCCCTTAAATCGTCCTGCACATCGTCCAAATACCTGAGTAAAGGTCGCCCCCTTCTTTTTTCGACCAGCCTACTTCGCATGCTTATTTTAGAAGGATCACTTTCACCCATTTGCATAATGTGGCCCACCCATCTAAGGAGGCTTATTTTGATGGTTTTTACAATATCTGCATCACCAAAGTCTGTAGAGTTCGAACTTATATCGCTTTTTTTCACAGACACTGTTCGTTAATTCCGCCATATATAGTCGTCAATAATTTTCTTTTAAAGTTTTGGCATATTTTTCGCTCTTACAGGTACTAGAGGAGTAGAGGACCTAGGCCAAAATAACAGCGGTTAGCCACACATATTCTTTTTCTTACCAAGAAAACCAAACCGTTTGGTATTCCCAATTCAAGCATAACCAAATATAATTGGAATCTGTCTCCAGTATCGTACGGTGCCTTAAAATCTACAAAAATGTAATGGCAGCCTATGTCGTACTCCGTCGTTTTTTCCAATATTTGTCTGATGGATGCTATTTGATTAGTGGTAAATCTGTTTTTCAAAAAGCCTCTGTGGTATGATCCTATTACATTGTATATTGTGCCAATCGTTCATTAGGGTATCAGTTACAAAATTTTGTATGTCGTTTTAAGAGGGAATATCCCCTCTAAAGTTAGAACAGTCCAGCACGTTTCCTTTTTTGTGTATAGGGCATATAATTCCAATATTCCAATCCTCTGGTAAAGCGCATTCTTGCCATACCTGTATTAATAGTTTGTGAAAGAGGGCTACAAATGAAACAGCAGTTACGGTGTGTTAATACAGACGCGACGAAGATAGGAAAGAATGGGTCAGAATAATACAGATGAAACGGTGAAACGGAGCAGAAAGTGATTAATCAATATTTAGCTACGGAAAAGAATAGGTTTTTCTCAGATTAATATTTCAAGACCGGATACGGAACTGCCAGTAGGTCAACACACTAACAGAAGCAGTTGGCCCTCAATTAATACTCTAGGACCAGTGAAGTTGTTACCAGATCCACACTCTGGCTGAACTCGTCGCTCTCGGGCGGTTGCTATTTTATATATCCGTAATCGTAGTCATTCCATCTCCTCTAGCGCGCGTCGATGGTAGAGGAACTTACGAAGAAAGTGCGTGTATACGGAGCACATTCAATAGGTTTTATTTCTGTTTTAATTCCAAAAAAATATATAAATAATAATTGTAATTTACAATAAATTACATATCATACTTTAAACTACAAAAATGTATCTAGAAGAATAAAATAACAATAATCCCTAAACTTATTTTTTATTTATCCAAATAGAATACGTTATTTTAAATAGAAGCAAACCTATTACTTATTATTTTCTGTCCCTCTAATTCAGAGACGACTAGATGGTGCCTGATATTTTTCATAAAATATCTCTAAAAACATCGTCATGTGTAAATAATTCGCAAATTTCCACTTTAAATAAAGCATTAAATTATGTGTAAATAATATACAAGGGGGCATATGACTACGCATCTTTCTGTATCTAGGAGTGTTATTCCGGTGAGTGTGCAAAATATCTTCAATTCTGTTTTGAATAGTCTTTTATTTTTTGATTTTTCTGGTGAAAGAAAATTTGAGAAGTCTTTTTTATATTTGTTTTTGTTTTGCCATACTATGTTGTTTAGACAAATTTGTTCAGAGTTTTAAAGTTATTGTAATCTTATTTATGTTTATAATGTATAAGTGTAATGTTGCATCAAAATATTAAAGTTCTAATTTGTTTCAGTTATGATTACGATTTTTCATATTTTATATGAAATAGTCGGAGTCAAGTAAAATTTGAAGAGAAAAACAGCAAGGAAAACGGGTTAATCAATAAAAAGAGTTTTAACCTTATATTTGATTAAATGCCTGGTCAACATCAAACGAGACAGCTTAGGTTTTACTTTTTCTTAGTGACATCGATGGCACATTGTCAAATCGATGAAACTTAGTTGATAGTTGAGTTGAGTTAAATTAATGATATAGACAGTCTGTTGATTATAGACAATGAGGTCGTCTGGCCTCGCGCAATTTTTTACACTTTGCCATGAAAGATCTTTTTTATACAGTCTACATATATGTTTGTAGTTTTGTAATAAAGTTTAGCTCCTATAGTGTCAAACCTCTTTTGGGTCAAGGTCTTGCTTTAATATGTACTTAAAGTGATTACTCGCTACGCCGCTTACATTCGCTCGCTAAACCTTTTTAAGTCATGTTCGAGGTAAGGTTTTGTATATCAAAAGTTCCTCTTCAGCTTTTGACGTATGTAACGAAATCCAGTTCCATAACTTGCGGATGACTGAAGGTGTTTTGATTGTTGATTCCTGGTTACTTCGGACACATTTCTCCATCCTGTAAGAAGCCAACAAACCTGAGTGTCGCTCGATAGTTTGAGTTGAGCCGTCATTACCTTCTTCTCAATCTTGCTTACCTTACAGAATTAGCAACCAGGACCGAAACAAGTATTTCTTAAAGCAGATATACAATAATTCACAAATTACATAAATGGCGATAAAACTATTTATTCACACTATGAAAATATGGAAGAGAATAATTGATAGACTGATGCATGAAAAAACTGAAAATGTCCAAAAATCAGTTTGTTACCCATGTTACATCATGTTTATGGACAATAACCGAAATATATAAAGGAATTTTTTACATGTCTGTCCACACACAGACGGACAAGACGAAACTAATTAATTTTTAGTTTTTGAATGTTTATTTCGGTTCGAAAAAGGGAAATGTTATTTGTCCCTTTGAGTTTTAAAATAAGAAAGGTAAGAAATAATACACAATATTTATTCATACCACAGCAGATTTAAGCTTAAAAATAATTGCATTTGCTATCCTTTTCTTTAAATTAAGATTCTCCTGAATAATATGTAAAACAGTACAATATGACAACGTTGCTCTGCGAGCGCTTTAGCCTGAAAATATCAAAACACTGCACCGATCGAAGAACGATTATGCACGATTATATGCGAGCGGAGCATCTTTTGTTGCAGTTATTCCGGTGAGGTGAGGGTTGAGGTCGTTGGCATGCTGCATGATTTTTTCGGTCGATTTGAATGCGGCCTGTGACGCGAACGCATTTGTATACCGCCTGATGTACACACGAGACTTGTTTACCTTT